GAATATTGAGCTTTAGCAATTTCTTTATCATATATTTTTGTTATTGACATCGTTTCGTTCATAACGCGATTTTCGAGAATTTTTCGAAACGATTGAATTTCAGTATGTCCTGGTTGAATGAGATCTTTATGTTCCTCATTCAGGCCCAATAAATTATTACTTGGATCAGTTTGAGCCTTGGCTGTAAAATTCTTGGTTTTACAAGTCCAATATATTTTCGAAGATGTTCTTTTATTCATTTTGTAAATAAATCCGTTCATAATCAATTGTTAGTGCCCTTTACTCGAATCATGGAAAGACCTAAGACTTGTATTGGTAAACATTATGTGGTCGAAGAATTAAGTAAAGAAAGTTCAAATATGCGCAATGTAATGTCTAAAAGTAAACAGAATACATAGAAGACCATAAAGCAATGCTGTTCATTGTATTCTTTGTTCCTTTGTATTTTCTATCGGTTCGATATTATAGAATGTTCTGAGGCACAGTAAGATATTGATAAAAATGACTAACTAATCTATGATATTCTAGTGAACACCAAAAACTAACAAAGAGCATAAGAAATGTTTCATAACGACATCTTAAAGTATTCGAATTTCTATGTACTCGACATTTTCTCTTTCGACATTTTTTTTGGACGTTTTCACAATAAATCACTCAATGTCGTAGTCCTAGGTGTAACGAATTAGAAAGATTCTTAAACGTTGATATGATTTCTTAAATCTAAAGCTCGTTGTTTCGACTCTGCGTTTTACTGATCAAACAAACGTCATTTACATCAAAGTTTATTTTAGTCGGGACATGTACCATGTTAAACAATTTTTAAGAGAGTACATTATCTTTACTATAAATTTCTAACATAGACGTCCTACACCTTCAACATGGATTTTGGAGAAACCTAATGCAATATTTTTATGTAGGCTAGCATTATTAGTGATATTTATGGCCGGATTAGTCATACTTAAGCCCATTATCATTAGGCTCTATGCGCCTTCTACACCAGACATCGAAACAAACATTACATCAATATACAAGGTAAGAATACAGAACAATTTTCTCTTAAACTGGCCCTTATCGGAAAACTTTAATTTAAAGACGTCGTTTTTGGTGTGTTGATTAGTTTCCATCATAGTTCATACTATGAACTTCATAGTATAGCTAAAGGCTTTTGGTGGCATATTTTCACCGTAGTTTCTTAGTACTGCATCAC